TAATAGGGTTTTTATCACAAATGGTCCATGAGACTGACCAAACTTATCATTTTGACCCCTTAGTTTCAAAATCAATCAATATCGTCCTTGATATTCACTACCACATATCAATTTGGTTATTCCGTTTAGATTCTGTCAATTATTTTGTTAGTTTGTATGTGGGATTCACAAATCCAATAAAATTGTGACACGTGGATTATACAAAAGAATGATTTTTATCGCAAATGATTATTGACATTGATCAAACTTCTCATTCTGGTCACTGAGTTTCAAAAATCAATAAATTTGGTTCCTGAATTTCACTATTGCACATCAATAGAGTCATTCCATTAAAATTTAGTCAATATTTTTTGTTAGTGTGCTGATGTGGTTTCACTAGTCCAATCATATAGTGCCAAGTGGATTAATTATAAGAAACTAATCTTTTTTTTTCCTTTTAGTTTTAGTTTTTAATTTCTTATGGTACTTTTAGTTTTAAATCTTAAAAAATTATTATTTTTTCATAATTAATCCATGTGGCGCCATATGATTGGACCAATGGGACCATATTATCACACTAACAAAAAATATTGACGAAATTTTAACGGAATGACTAAATTGATATGCAGTAGTGAAAGTCAGGGACCAAATTAATCGATTTCTGAAACTCAGGGACCAAAATAAGGAGTTTGATTAATGTCAGGGACCATTTTTGATAAAAACTCTTCTTTTGTGTAATCCACATGTCACCATTTTATTGGATATGCGGGTGCAAACTAACAGAAATAGTTGACAGAATCTAAACGGAATGACCAAGTTGATGTGCAGTGGTGAATGTCAGGGACAACATTGATTGATTTTAAAAGTGAGAGACCAAAATGATGAGTTTGATCAATCTCAAGGACCATTGGAGATAAAAATCCTTCCTAATAAACAATCCTACTTTCTTGACTGGCTTGTATCTAATATTCAACACTCTCTGTAAATTTCTTCTCCTTTGCTGGTAAATCTGGGAGACTTTAAATAATTTTGGCATTCCCAATTTTCTTCGAGAGGCCAAGTTTCTTGACGATGCCATTGCTGACTTAGAGCATAGTTTGTTTGCAGAGTGTATTTGGGTTCATAGTACATGCCCTGCTTTCCGTGATAGTTTCCCAATGAGTAAGAAGCATGTAGGTCAACTTGGTACAAGAACGGACCTAGACTCCATACTACGAGAGATTTTTTAGTTTGATCGGAATACGAGACAATATGTCACATGTCATTATGAAATTGGACTGTAGTTTTTTTTTTCAAGTGTCCTTCAAATTGTTTAGTAACACTTTGCGTACCGCTCATTTTCTGAACATACTGAAAAATCTTTCCAAACCATCCCAACTTACAAATATGTCCTACCAAATAAAAGGGTTTCAATGCCAAAAAAAAAAAAAAAACAAAAAAAACAAAAAAATAAAAAAGAAAAAAGAGCCTCCACATGGGCTTCAAATAATAAAGGCCCAAAAATGACTAATAGAGAAAACCCTCAAAACCTAGGTGGGTGACAACCCGCCGCAGCTATTCGGAAACCAGAAGCGGCCGACAGCCCACACCACCAATTTTGTAGCATAAAATTACCATTGCTCACCCCTACATCGTACCATATACAGACCTTTAATTGCTCCAAATAAAAAACAATCTAAAGCACATATCAACAATATCATCAAACCTAAAGCAAAATTGAAAATTATCACCAATTAACTTGCAACCCGAAAGGAACAGCCAAAACTCACAGCCAGTGGTGGACCCATAGAGGGACCTAGGAGGTCCAAGGACCCTTCAGCAACCCTGAATCGTTGCTTGAAATTTTTCAGGGACCCCTCGCACTCGAGGAGGTAGGCTTGTGTGTGCAAGCTGCAACGATTGAGCAGAGGCGTCTTTGGAGAAGACGACCACGTGAAGAAGTTTTCTTTTTTAAGGCTTAGCCCAAAACGCTAGTTTTGGTCAACTGTTTTAATTTTTTTTTTAATTAAAACAATATACAAAACGTAGTCGTTAGTGTATATTTTGTTTTAAATTCCTAGCTAGCACGTCCCCCAAGTCCACTCTTTCCCATCCCTTCCCCCATCCCATTGCCTTGATTTTCATGTTGGAAATGTGCCCTAAAACCAATCATATGATGATACTTTACGGACATTTCAAACTAATGTAGTTCATTTCAAACTAATGTAGTTTAAATGTAAAGGGCAAAGATTATTCTTTGAGCCGTCTAATATAAATGTTATATGCTTAAACGATAAGTCCAAGGAATATGTGATTGGAAGAATGCGATCTAAAGAAGTTAGATTCATGAGACCATTCTTTCGTTGACACATCCTAAACGTTCCTGATCATAGGATTGTCAATTGGGCATTGACAGTCCGTTAAGATCAGTACGTGCTATGTCTTCTCTCAGGGAGAGTGACTAGTCTCGAGTCATTGGTGTGTGTGACATCAAGACAAGTACGTAGGTGCTCAATAGAGAATGAGTTCACTGAACACGATCAACGAAGAGTTCTCATATTCATGTCACATGAGAACTCATGGTTGGGATAATGCAAATTAGTCTTTTGACCTGAGGCATCACAGTTGTCTTGTGGTTAGGTCCTTAATCTTTGATTATGTCAACGTCACTCTATCAGGGTGTCCACGGCATCGTTGGGGTTAAGCCACTTAGCCATGGAGGCAAGTGAATGCGCAACAAGGGATCTCTAACCTTCAAACTGTTTGAGGGAGAATACTCTATGATATGATTTAGAATCTCTGGCCAGAGTATGAATGAGATGTTGGAATGCGTTCCAGATCACATTCAAGGTAATCATATAAGTACAAGATTCACATTGGATAGTAGACATGAATAAACTATCAAACCAAACAATGTGGTCAAGAGTATTGTATTAGAGAAAGACCGTATTGCATTTGTAATCCTAAACTGAATAGGTTCTCCACCTCTTCTGATTAGCTTGGGTAACCATGATATGCTGCTAGGTGTCACTCATGGTTTGTGGAAGCCCTAAAAGTGTATTATCACTAACGGGAGAATTGAAAGTTTCAATTCACAATCGATTTGAAAGAGTTTGAATCGCCCACTGCCTCGCTAAAAGGAACCTAATGGATCGTACACCGTGTAAGGTAGAGTTTGAAGATTCAACGGAGATGAGTAAGAATAATTAAATGGTTTAATTATTAATGGCAAGGATTAATTAATATGATTATTAATCAAACGAATAAGTTCGTTGAAGACCTCGGGATAGTTTTGGACCTTAAGGCCCAATGGGCTTCGAACGTCAAGTCCATTAACTTAAGTTGTATGACAACTTAATGAATAATGATTCACAAAGGCCCAAATAGCCCAATAAATCCCTAAGGCTGGCCATTTAGAGGAGGGTAGTGAACTTGGCTTAATTGCAAGTTTGCCACTCCATTGTGAGGTGGTATAAAGACATCTTTATAGCCATTTCATCCTTAGGGTTTTCTAGGGAGTAAAGATGAGAACACAAAAACCTCCCTTTGCTCTCAAAGAGGCCGGCCAATCTAGAGGGGAATAGCTAGCAATCTTACTTCCTCTAGGTCACTCATTTCTTCTACAATATACCTTGGTGTGGAGACTTAGAGGTTCTCAATTTTGGGAACTTGGAAAAACCTTTTCATCCATCCAAATCCATGGATCTAAGATGCAAGGAATGAAGGCCCTCTCTTTGGGTGATTAGCCTTTGCTTATGCAAAGAGGAATCTACAAAGGTATTGATTTCTCAACTCACTTTATTTTTGAGTTGAGTCTTGGTTCACCTATCTACTAGGCTTTGAATTTCATGGGTAAATGTTTAGTTTTAAGTGCATACAAGCATGATTCCGCCTTTAATTGTTAATTGCATGCTATTGATGTTGCTTAAATGAACATGTTTTTCACAAATTTTCCTTCATTTCACATGTTCACCCAATCCCCAGTTCCCTAATTTTCAAAACCCTAAAATTCTAAATCCTACCCGATCCCATATTTAAACTTTGCTCCAATATCATACCTCAATTTGTTTCAAATCTCCACACCACCACCATTTGGTTCAAAATTCATGGAAGTTTTTCGGTATTCTAATCTAATCTCAATTAAATTATATTAGATATTGATGGAGGTTTATAGTCAATTATTTGATATGATTATTGATATGTTTTATGTTTGTATACTCATGTGATTATTGGAATTTAGATGGGATTTTTGTTTATTGGTTAATTGGTATATGGTTTGTGTTTTTTTATCAATTGTGTAATGTAAAAATAAGAAACATGGAAAGATTTTTCACCACAGCCAATAACACCCTTTATTTGAATAATCTTGAAAGAGGCCTGAGAATAAAACTCCAATGTTATAATTAAACTTTTCAATGTTATTTTTGTCTATTAATTTTTTGACCTTTATTATTGGGACCCTTTAAGTTTAAAATTATGGATCCGCTACTGCTCACAGCTACCCCGAAACCAACAACATAATTCCAATGTCGGCGAAGTAGGACATGAATTCAAAATTAAAGAAGGAGAACCCAAGTGTTTTGTTTTGCACACCTTCAACTAAATGAGCGACAATCCGATCTCGCGATAGGCAGCATACATAAGAGCTCAGTCGAACTTCTCAATTAAAAACATGCAAAATGACGGCAAAAGAGAGTCTTGAGGGCTACATTTGTATTATGGGTTATGGAATTGAGGTTCATTTATAGCTATTAGAAATTTGGTGCACAATACCAAGAAATAGGCTAAAACTAGACGATAACCAAAAGTGGAAAAATCAAAGTTTGCTAATTGAAATGTTGCTCAAGCCCACAACCATTGAGCAGAGATGGATAAAAAAACAACTAGTAAGAGGGAAACAAAGGGAACATAGAAGGGGTGAGAAATGGAAGAGAAATTAGAGGATAACCAAAAGTGGGGAAATCAAGTTACCGAATGAAACGTTGCTCAAGCCCACAACCACCGAAAATAGGGGATTAAGGTGCACTACCATTTGAGTAGAGATGGGCAGGCCACCATCTTTGGAGAGATGGGGCACTCTACCATCGTGCAAGAGATGGATAAAAAAAACAGCCAGTAAGAGGGGAAAAATCAAAAGAGACAGGTTGAGAAAACAGGAGAGAAATGGGGAGGGGGATATGCTAAGTAAGGGAAAGAAAGGGGAGGAAATCGAGGCACGTGAAAGGGAGGGGAAGGAATTGAGGCACGTGGAAGGGATGATGGAATCGCAGGGAAAAAGGAAAGAAAATGAGGAGTTGCATGACAGAGTGGGGAGAGAGGGAAAATGTAGAGGGTGGGAACGAGATGGGAAGAGGGAAAAGGGCTAGCAAAAGGTAAGAGGCGGGCTGTCGGTAACCCAAAGTCAGAGTAAGGGGTAGCGGCTAGGAGGTTTTCAGATCTAGGATTGTTTTGGAAAGGGCTTTCATTTGGGTTCCATTGGTTTCGAAGGAAAATCGAAGGATTTGCCATGGGGTGGTACGTGCGCGATGATCCTGACGAAACGACGTCTACCTATTGTAAGTTTTTTGTGCTTTTGATGATTCCAAATGTAGAAAATGTGGGTTCATGCTTTGTGAATTCGAAATGGTACCTGAGGTGTTGGAATGGGTTGAATGTGGGTTTTGTTTATTCTTCTAGCATTGTTTATTCTTGTTTAAAAAGGTGGATTTATGCTTTGTTAATTTGAAATGGTTCCTACGGTGTTGGAATGGGTTGAATGTGGATTTTGTTTATTCTTCTAGCATTGTTTATTCTTGTTTGAAAATGTGGTTTATGCTTTCTTAATTCGAAATGGTTATTGCGTTGTTGGATAATAGGTTGGTTGCTTTGTTGCTTTGTTTATTGTTGTGAAGATAAGGTGGTTGGATAGTGGGTTTGTTACTTTATTTATTCTTGTGAAGATAAGGTGGTTTGTTGTTGTTGAGAAATGGTTAATGTGCTTTGGCTGTTTGCATATAGTTGTGGTTTGTTGTAATTGCATATAGTTGCATATAGAATGTTGTGCATTGGTTTTTGTTTTTGGCTTTTAAAATGCAATTAGTTGCATATAGAATGTTGCATACAGAATGGTTTGTTAGGTTAAAAAGCAATTGCTTATGTTTGTTGTTGGCTTTTAATTAGGGTTTGTTTTTGTGAATTTCAGTTTTTCCAGAACTATTCTCTATTGAATTGCATCATGGTAGGGAGATAAGTTATGACATGTACGTTGGGGGAAAAGTGACATATATAGATAACTGTGATAAAGACCTCATGTCACTGCCGGTGATATCTGATATAGTGGAGGCAGTTGGATACATTGAGCGGTTCATGAACTATTATTTCAAGATTCCCAACATGAACCTTTCAAATGGTTTGAAGCAGATTCAAAGTGATTTCGATGTTCAGTCCATGTTCAATTTTGTTCCAAAAGATAAAGTGATTGAGATGTACATCGAAGAATTGACGACAGAAAAAGCCGTAACCAAGAGCAATAATTTCTGAAGTCCATGGAAGTGACAGGTTCAAGTAAAGTGGTTATTGAGGAGATAAGTAGTTCAGAGGAGAATGTTGGGCCAACAATACTTAAACTAATAAGATATAAGGGCTTGCTAGCTATTGAAGGGCCATAAGTGGATGATTGTTGCACATCTCAAGTAGTGCAAACATGTGTGGCTGAGGTATGAGAGATAAATGTTGAAGAAGGGAATGTTCAGAAAGAGAAAAATTGTGAAGGGCCAAAGAAGAGTCAAGGGAAATCTGTGGCTGACGTAGGAGAAAATGATACTAAGGGGGATGTAGGAGAGGGGGATGTAGGTGAGGGGAATACTGAAGTATTCTTTGATGTACTTATTAGTTTGGAAGGGAATGTTGAAGAAGAGAATGAAGAAGCTACTGAAGAAGATGATAGTGACTTTGAAGAGAGTGAATATGGGAGTGATGCTGATAACCCAGTGTTTTCCAAGTTTGATGAAAGGGATTATGAGCAAAGAAGTGTAAGACAATCTGAGCAAAGCCGAGAAAGAGAAGAAGAGCAAAGGGAAGAAGAATTTGATACTGCAAATATGGAACAAAATGTGATTGATGATCTAGACTATAACTCTGATGCTCTTGAGAGTGTACACTCTTCAGATGATGAAAGAGGCAAAGAACATGAGCGATTTCCAGAGTTCAATAAGAAAACATATCCCACTCTTACACTTGGGGCTTGTTTTCAGGGATCATGTCCAATTCAAGCGAGCTGTCATCATGTACTCGCTAGTGAATGGATATGGAGAAATCCATTTTCCTAGGAATGAGAAATTGAAAGTCATAGCAAAGTGTGCAAAAGGGTGCCCTTGGAAGTGTTGTGTTGGAAAAATGTATGGTTCGAACAACATACAGATCAAGACCATACTTGATGAACACACTTGGGGAGAACTTGGGTAAACAAGAATATGAAGTCCCTTTTGCTAACTAATTTGTACATGGAGAGGATAAAACTGAATCCCAAATGGTATGTGGATTCCTTTTTGGCAACTATCGAATCAGAGTGGAATCACGGTTGTACAAAGAGGAAGGCTTACAGGGCTTTAGATAGGGCTTTAAAGATCATTGAGGGAAAACAAGTAGAGCAGTACACAAAGTTGTGGGACTTTTCTGAGGAAGTGAATAAGACTAACCTTGGAAGCAAAGTGAAGGTGAAGTTGGATAGAGGGAAGTTCCAAGGGATATATATGTGCCTGAGGGCTTATAAAGAGGGGTTTAAGTCAAGGTGCAGACCATTGATAAGATTAGATGTGTGTCATTTAAAGAGTGTATATGGAGGTCAGCTACTTTGTGCTGTTGGCATTGACCCAAATGATGAAACATGGGTTATAACGTATGCAGTTGTAGAAATGGAGAATAAGTCCAGTTGGATTTGGTTCTTAGAGTTATTGGCCGTTGATGTTGGGATTGTCAATTAAGAGGGATGGAGATTTATTAGTGATCAGCAAAATAGGTTAATTCTGGCCTTTAGAAAAGTCCTCCTTAATTCCCACCACAGATTTTGTATGAGACATTTGTATACCAACTTCAAAAATTTGTTTAAAGGGAAAACATTGAAGGATGCTTTGTGGTCAATAGCCAGAACAACAACAGTTGCCTACTTCAAAAAAGCAATAGAGGATATGAAGAAGCTTGATGAAAAGGCCTACGATTGGTTGGTGAAGTTGCCTGCACATCATTGGAGCAAGTCTCATTTTGAAACACATCCCAAGTATGACATGTTGCTGAACAATCTCTGTGAAAGTTTCAATGCCGTCTTACTTATACCGAGACAAAAACATATTGTTACCATGTTGCTCCTTATTCACGCACTCTTGATGAAGAGAATTCAGATGAGAAGGGATATAATGGTGAACAAAGTTTGAGATCTCTGTCCTAAAATCAAGAAAAAGTTAGAGGAAGCCAAAATTCAAAGTGGCAAGTGCATTGCACAATGGTCAGGGGGCTTTAAATTTCAAGTTGATGCTGGGAGGGGGGAGCAATATGTTGTTGACTTGGTTAAGAAGACTTGTTCTTGCAAAAAGTATGCCCTTGACAGGAATCCTACGCAACCATGCAATATCGGCCATAAATTTCAAGAGAGAAAAACCGGAGGACTATGTCAATGCTTATTATTCGAAGGCGCAGTACTTGGAGGTGTATTCTCATTTAGTAATGCCGATGAATAAGATGTCTTTGTGGGAGGAAACTGATAAACTACCAATATTGCCTCCTACATATACAAGGCAACCTGGAAGGTCGAGGAAGAAGAGAAACAAGGAAGCTGTTGAAAGGGACAATAAGGGTGAACAAACTCCCACAAACCCAACCAATAATCCTCAAGGTCCTTTTTAGCCACTTAAGCTAGGAAGGAAAGGGCAAGTCACCTTGAAATGTACCATATGTAAAAAGGAAGGTCATAATGCAAGAACCCATCATAGACATCTTCCTCCAAGGGACAAACAGGTAACATTTTCTACTTTATATGGTTTTTTAAATCCTTTAACATCATATTACACTCTTAATTCTTTAACATCATTTTTTACTTTGTAGGCATCCACATTTGTTCAAGGACAAACTGCACCTAAAAAAGGACAAGGAAAACAAAGGTAAAAACTTAACCATTTCCTTAATTGTAAAACATTTGGATTTAGTTAAAAAGCTTGCTTGGTCTCTAAATGAACTTTGGATTTAGGCATCACAATCAATAATTGAATCACCTAGAAGCACCAAGCAAAGAAAGACCAAGCAATCCACTAACTGAATCATCCAAAGGCACCAAGCACAGAAATACCAACCAACCCAGCCATATCCACGTTTTTGGCACAGATGGTTGTTTTTTGTAAAAGAATTGTGAAGTTAGAACAAGTTTTATGCCTCCAATAGGTCTTTTGTGAATTGAATGGATGATGTAGTAGGTTTTTATGAATTCAGTAGATTTTGTAATGTTGGTTGGAGATGCTAGATGAATTATGTTAGTTTTTTTAACAGGTTTAACAATTTCTGGATAATCAAGCAGGTTTTATGCTTAATTTGGTCTATTTCATATTTTTCTTGCAAATGATGAGTAGTTTGTGTTTGAATACACTTGTTTTGTTGTTGTTGTGGTTATATCATTATTTTTGGGTGAGATTTTTCAAATTTGAGGTCAAGGATGATATAATATGTGCTTAAGGATGATAATCTGTGCTTAAAATGGTATATCACAGGGTTTTTTTTTTGGGGCGGGAAAATTCAAATTACCAAAAAAAAAAAAACCCAAATATATTTTCTGACGTGGATGCCATTTGGCGGGGAAACATTGGGTGTGGTGCCACGTGGAATCCATCTCGGCAAGGAACTAGGCCCCGAATCAAGCCATGTCAGCATTTAACTAACCAATTCATGGACAAGGTAAATGAGGTATAACATTGGACCAAATTCTAAAGATGAGGTATGACATTGTCAATTTTAAAAGATGAGGTATGAAAGTGTCGTGATGCCAATAGTTGAGGTAGTTTTTTGTACTTTACCCTTAATTTTATGAACATTTTAATGTAAAAATATTTAAATTCTGATAAATATTGAAAATCACTAAATCTTTCCACAAAGCAAGCCGTCAACTTTCATCAATCGTTTAACTTTCACCAAACTTTCAACGTAAGTACTTCTTCCTCTCTGGAATGTATTTGTTGAGGTCCTCCCGCGTCAAACTTATTTTGAACCTCTCTGGCTCCCTATCCCCTTCTTTCTTCATTTGCAAGTGCATTTGGGTCACTTTTTTAGTGAATTTTGAGTTAAATAATTTTTTTTAATTATTTTAACCGTTGGATTTAAATTTGGGCCATTAGATCTTTTTTTTTTTTTTTTTTTTTTTTTACTGTTAGATTTGATTATATTCGATGGGTTGGGTTTGGTGGCCGACACATGCGCTGATAGCGGGGCCCACCCTGTTGGGCGTTGAAGGGCTTAGCCCGCGTGCGGCGAGTTGGGCGCATGATCGGGCCGAGAGTGGGCTGGGAAAGGGAGAGTCCACGTATTTCTGGGCTATTTCTTGGGGGGAATTTGGCCCTCAATTGGCATTTGGCTTGGGTTGGCTTGGGTTTTGTTTGGGGGGGGGGGGAATTTGACATTTAGCCCAGGTTGGAGAGAGTCATAGAGTGAGCTGAGTTATGAATGAATATGGTTTGCGATGGGTAAATATAACACATTCTCATACAATTAACAGAAACCAACTAAAATGCATATATATATTGAATGTTTTTTCCTTTTGAATACAAGCAATTTGAATTTCCACTACGATTTAAACTCGTGGTACAATGGATTGAAAAAAATGACTCTAATCATCAGAATAATACCTGTGCATATGCACGATCGTAGTTGATAACAACCAAAATTATGTTAGTGGGTTAACTTGAAACCTAATAATCTAATGATTTTGGCCTTTTGCCATTCATGAGAAGTCAGGTAGCAGGCAACTAGTATATATGATTGGATCCTTTTCCCCCCAAAATCATATTCTCTATCCTTAAATATAAAAAAATAAGGGTTTGATATGAGTGGGGTTGGCTTTTGGCCTTTTTGTCTGGGATGATGGCGGTGAAGCTTCCACTGCAGCAGCAAAAATGGAAGACAAGAAAGTAGAACAGAAGGCAAGATTTTTAGGGGACGGCCTGGATTTTACGCGTGCCCTAATTCTAGCTTATGACTTCTCGAATCTCACATTCACCATAACATAAACACCTTCCCGACTCTTTTTCCAGAAACATGGTATCAAAAGGTTTATAGCTTTGTAGATAGATTAGATAGATGGACAAACACAAAAGACAAACAGGACACCGTGGCACTTTTACCAATCTCACCCTTCCAAGTTAACTCTCTTTATGGTTAACAATAGGGAACTGGCTTAGTTTCAAATGTTTTGTTCTAAGATTTGGAAGTTGGGGTTTTCAGTCAAATGTTGTTAGTGAAATGCTTTGATCGAGAAGCATGCGTTCCTTAAGATAATCATGTTCTTAAACACTAAATCTGTTGAGACAGCATGAGAATGTCACATAGAAGGATGAAAGTTTAGTATACGATCTTAAAAAGTTTTAAGCTTCTCCAGCCGTCCCTATATGATTTTGCATTGGATATTTCATTCAAACATGGTATCATAGTCAAGATTGTAAAGGTTCACGTCTCACCTATTAAGAATTGTCTACATGTTAGACTCAAAAGATGTCATAGGCAATTGGATATATTTTATGTAAGGATGTAGAGTGTTGTCCGGCGTAAAAAAAGTTCATTCTATATCATCACGCAACCATCATTCTGTATATAAAATTTTGATTCCACCAATGCATGTGCATGATTATAAAGAATAAAATGTTTTGACGAATACAAGTCCAGTATAGAAGTTTAAAAGAGATTTTGAACTTGTCTAACCATTACCTAGGTTAGGAACTCTCTGTTCTAGCAAATATTATTCATCTGCATAAGCAGAAAGAGGGGCAAAAGTTGCTTCCAAAGGAGACATGATCGAGATGACGATGATCGTGGGTTGGCACTTACCCAGCCAAATGCAAACCCTAGTGCGGTATTACCAGGATTAAACAAATTAAATAAACCCATGATCTATCCAAATTTGGTATATATCCTGACGATCACATATATTATCAGAGTCATAACTCACTGATCACCTGTTACCTGCATAGCCTGTTCACTAATTAACTAGATTACTTAGTATGGCACTAATTAATTAAGAGTCCAAGGAGTTAGATAGAAGACCACATTCACAGACAGCAGTCAGCAAACTATTGTGCCAAGTACAAACAGACAAATATTTTACTCGTGAATGCGAACATCATCGGGAATTGTTGAAAGTGCGCAACACAATTTGGCCAAATTGCTCTTCGATCTTGACTAGCAATTAACAAATCATATATTAAATACTATTCAAAATCTTGAGAGATCAAACCATGCATGCTCGAAGACTTTTCTTGGGATTTTGTCACAAACGTCTGAATTAAATGGATCATGAACCATTATCCTCGTTTTGAAGTAATCAATAAGGTTCTAAATATTACCGTTCCTAGTTTAACTTTATTTTCTTTTTAAGTATTGGAATAAATTTCGAGTTTGAATTTTTTTTTAAATAAAAAATAAAAAATACAAAACTTGATAAGATTAATAGCATGCATACATTCCATGTTAATTATAGTTCATTTTACTTAATTATTTTCATTCATCAAATGTTTAAGATTCATTCTATTTGATTATTGGCTTTGTTTGATTAATTAGTTGCTCATGGTTATGTCTATTTGCTCCTCTTAGAATTGATTGATCCACTTATTTTAAAAACCCTCCTCTAGCTACTAGCTAGGGTTTCTTTGATCTACACTTTGTCATGCACTCGTTTACCAATGAAACTTATATATGTTCATCGGCAAAAAAGAATAGCATGTGTTACGTAAATTAGTTCCTTTTTCCTTCTTGAAAGTTCAAACTTTCAAACTCCACATAAAAAAATAAATCGCAAGCAAATCTCATGGCGTATATATCATGCTTATAACCATTGTTCAAACTTTTCATTCAAAATAATCCCCTTGTAGGGACAAACCCTAAAGAACAAAACTTCACCTACACTTTTGATCACTCCCAGAATTGGATAGCCTGCTATCAAATGAGAAGTGCGTTTCTAAAATTTTCAATATATATTTCGAACCCTAAAGCAAAAGATGAAGCAAACCGAGTGACTGGAAAAAGGGGGATGTAGTTGCTTACGACAGGAGGCACATGACATAACATAATCCAATATGTCTCCTCTTCTCTTTTCCCTTTTTGGCTGGTCATGAGTTGTCTGTCCCTCCTAAATTTCAATTGTGGTGGCTTTATTGTCGCTTTGTTTATGTTCCCACACTGCGCATCCTTAAAAGGAGGTTTACGATTTCCCCACCCTATTTGACTGAGCTATGATCAGTCTTTAGGGTCAACCTAACTCAGTATCTTTGTCAGTCTGTTGCGAACAAAACCGTTCAATCCAAATCAGACAATGTGTAATTTTGACTTTCACTTGCATCGATCGATCTTTTTTTGCCCTGGATAATTACCTTCATGAGATTTGCACTCTTCTGTATGACCTTTAGCAGACACCAACTAAATTAACTATGAAGCTTGGCCTTACTCACATGTCTTAATTATCTTGGACTTACTATATTAATTATGGACTGTTTGAAAATGATTCTTTAAAAGGTACTTCTGCCAAGAAGTAGGATGAAATTTTTAAGAAACATATGCAAGCGTTTATTAAAAACACTTGAAATACTTGCTAAAAAAAGCACATACACAGAAAGTGTTATTCCAAAACGACTATTTTTTTTAAAGCACTTTCAAATTTGCTCTTATCTAATGTTCCGTAGCATGAGAATTATAAAATTGAAAAGCACAAAAAACCGAAAAAATCTATACTGTGCATATGAACTCAAGAAATATATACAAACCGTAAAATTGTATTATAGTGAAAACTTTCATCTTGTCTGCTCGCCGACCAATGTTGAACATTGGCAGCTTTCGCGCATGTCCCTCTATTTCTAATTTCTATCTCTCTGCGCACAAAAAACGGGGAAAAGATAATTAAAACGAACAAATCCACATAATTATTCAATCTCAAATTCCCTAAAAACAACGCAGACAAATGTATAAACAAAGTGCTGATTTCAATAAATCAAAAACCTTTAAACAATAAAAGATGTAGCGCAAAAAAAATTATAATAATAAAAAAAACCAATGGATCCACTTTAGGGTATTATATATGCACACGGGTTCACACTGTTTGGAGTTCAGAGGCTCAGAAAAAAGGAAGTTCCTGAGGCAGCAGGAGAGACCGGTTTTGTTTCTAGCCATTTGAAGCTGAAATATGGACGATGGCATGCCAGGGTTTTGCATCAAAGGATCGAGTTTTCGCAGTGGTGGTGGCGGTGGTAATGGTAATAGTGGAACCAAGTGCGGGCGTTGGAATCCAACCATTGAACAGGTTAAAGTGCTGACTGACCTGTTCAGGTCTGGACTCCGAACGCCGAGCACTGATCAGATTCAGAAAATCTCTTCTCAGCTAAGCTTTTATGGAAAGATCGAGAGCAAGAACGTCTTTTACTGGTTTCAGAATCACAAAGCCAGAGAAAGACAAAAGCGGCGTAAAGTTTCTATTGATGACAAGGATATCATTCGTCGAGATCAGGAGAACAAGCCGTCTCCAAAACGTACGTTAATTAATCATTAGCTGTTAAAATTTTATCTTTTTTGATGTTCTTCACTTTAGGGTTTTCTAGTATGCACCGGAATTCTGGGCCGCACATCTAATCATGAGTGTTCAAACTCTCAGTTAATATTTTTCTTTGCTGATGTCGTGGTTTTATGTTCCGTTCATTGCAGAAATAAATCAGGTTTCGGAGCCGGCGAGAGTGATTGAGACCCTTCAACTTTTCCCGATAAACTCTTTAAACGAATCTGAAGGAGAGAAGCTGAGATTTCATGCAAATGAATATTGCAAGGAGACATCAGCTTTTACTTACACTGTTGGGGCAGAAATGGACCTTCCACCTTTGGATCTGCGCTTAAGTTTCCAATAATTTACATGCTTCAAATTTATGAGAAAATGAACGAAAAAAAAAAGAAGCTCCAGCTAGCTAGCTAGTAGCCATGGCTGCCATTTGTAGAATTTAGGGTTTAGCAGCTGGCATGAAGGGTCAACAGAAAGGTAAGGAGGGAGAGATAGAGGTTGAAAAGTTTACGCAGTATTGACGCTAATTTGAGTTGTTGAATTAAAATATTGGAAAATTCTTGGACATTCTTCTCTGCATGTGCACTTTCTTGTTGTTATTAATTTCTCTGTGATTTACTCTGTTGGGTTTCTTGTTTGTATGAATGGCTTGGAAATCGGAACTTTCTCTTGGCCACGTGAGAAATGTCTCCTTGGGCTGCAAAATTGTGAATGGAATTGCTACACTTGGCCTTGGTCATATGACTCATATACCTTTTACTTACCTTGGGTCTGCTTCCCCACTTGCCCACAGCTCTCATTTTATCCTTACCAAGTAATGGCAACTACCAAAACTATTCTTAAATTTCATTTGGAGATTCTAAACCTGCTCTTTCATGCGGATCTGAGCGTATTTACATTATTTGATCGGATGTGTTATCTCTTATGCACTCGAGTTTGAATTCTTTCTATACAATTGGAATTAGATTAAAATATAATATTGTCGTTCAGAAAAATTGGCCATTCATGAATAACTTAAAGCTCCGGTTCTGGAATCTCATACATTGAGAGTAGTTTTGGAAGTTGTAATAATAAATAGTGATAGCATAAGAGTAATTTAACAAAAGGGATATTCGAGCTTAATACCCATTTCAATATTGAAACGAGAAGTGTGACTCTTCTAGTTCAAATTAAAGGGGAGTGTATACAACTTGTTTACTTCTTATTTACCTATGACATTTCAAAGAGTGAAATTGTTGTATATACTGTGTCATTTTATTTAGGAAAATTATAAACACACACTTTAGATGGTCCGAACACTCTAGATGGTCCGAACCACTTACAAGAGGAATTCTGGACATGGCCTTATGCAAGAGGAACCAACGTTCCTTCATGTGCAGCGTCTGCTTATATTCATGATATTTCTGCTTCTACCAGCTATCGTTTTAGATGATTTTTTTCATGTGTTTTCTTTGTAAGTGGGGTTCCCTTATCGTGTTACTTGCTATGTTATTTCCATCAATGAGGCTTGGCTTTATGTCCCCCTCATTTGTATTTCCATTCTTATCTTAATAAGATGATGGGGTTGAAAAAAAAAAGAAAAGAAAAAAAAAGGCCATACAACCATACTCGTAAACCTGGAGTCCCCATGTTTAATTTGCTGACCTTGGCTCACCCAAATAGTCTTCCTGTGTGCCTTGCTTATGCCCCATCCGCCAGGGCGGACGTAAGAACCTCTCCTCATGTAGGTACAAACTTCATTGCAAAGGTTCCGCTCTTTTCTAAATGAGTGGGACAATCTACCTAATCTGATTGTGGGACGTAAGAATCTCACCCTGCCATGGAATGGTTTTGAGACGAGCATGTATGAGTACTCTGATACAAGTGTCAGGGCCATAACAATAACATGACCGGCTAGAATGATTTGTTTTTAGCATGTCGGTGATATCTTATATTTGTGTCGTTGAAACTAGTCTATATATTTTCGACAAATTATCTCCGACATTTTAATTTTTATTTTCACAAAACCTGAGACTAATAATAGAAAGTGACTTTTTTATAATCGAAACATTTGTATTTCAACATCACTTTAGCCAAAAGCTCAAAAAAAAAAAAAAAAAAAAGGATAAACAATTTGCGAAAGGCCGAAAAGCAATGAAGTTTACCGTAATAAAGCCCATAAATCTTAGGCTCAATGTCACAACATGGGCTTTGCGGCCCAACGCATTTCTCCAGAAGCAAACAAAAGTATTTCACATATAATATTGGTGTGAGAACCGGAAGGAAACAGAACAACAGCCGAGCAAGCAGCTTTTTACAGACAAATTATAGGGAGAAAGGTTTCCTGCGGGAGAAGCTAACTCAAAAATTTCCGCAAAAAAGCAGGAAAATTCAGAGAAAGCAGAAGAAATCTAGCAATGGATGTGATCAAAACGCAGCAAATCTCATCGAGGCCGATCGAAAAGGTGATAGTTCACCCGCTGGTTCTGCTCAGCATCGTCGACAACTACAACAGGGTCGCCAAAGACAGTCGCAAGCGCGTCGTCGGAGTTCTGCTCGGCTCGTCGTTCAAAGGCACCGTCGACGTCACCAACAGCTACGCCGGTTCGTTTATTTCTCGCTCTTTTACTCCCGCAGCTTCTCGGCTCTGTCTGGATCTCGTTTGCTTTTATTTATTTTTAAATAATTTTATTGAATTTTCGATTTTTTTATCTGATTAAGGAAGTTTTGAATTTGAATTTGAATTTTGCTCCGGCTGTTGTTAATTATTGTTTGCTTAGTGGGAAAAATTGGTCTTTAAGCTCTATATATCTGCTGCTTTGCGCTTGAAATTAAATTGGCTGAACAAATTTATCTTGCATTTGTATGCTGATATATGAATTAGTACTCACGTAATTTAGACCAAGTTTCAAAATTTAGATGTACAAAAGGTAAAGTAATGCAATTTGATAATTCATTTCGGGTTGAACTCGGAGGTACTGATGTCTTTGTAGCATAAATGTGCAAATATTTGCTTTCCGAATGCGTAGACTCGTGCAATTTGGAGATTTATTAGTGTATGTACGGCACAATATGCTTTCTATTTCAGCTTCCTATTGAATTGTACGTTCCTTCGTTGTTGGTCTCTACACTTGCGTTCTTGTACTGCTTTGACTTCGAGATTGCTTGTTGGTTTTCCGAGAGATTGTGATGTAGCGTCAGCCTCGAGCTTGTCCCCTTAAATTTAACTTGTTAGTTTGGTTTGTGCTCTTATTAGACTAGAAGATTTCTTATTTTGCCTTTCCATGTTTTATTTTATAATTTTTATTCTAAAACCTTTTATGTTTCCAGTTCAAGCACGTTACTTTTGACTCATATAATACATGAATTTCTGTTCTCAGTGCCCTTTGAAGAGGATGACAAGGACCCAAGTATCTGGTTTCTTGATCACAACTACCACGAAGCCATGTATTCCATGGCAAAGAGAATAAATGGTACTAATCAAGGATACATCTCTTATTTCCGATACATACATTATATGTTATGATGAAAAGATTGACACATAATTTTTTGCAGCTAAGGAGCATGTTGTGGGATGGTACAGCACAGGGCCCAAATTGCGAGAAAATGACTTGGACATTCACGGTTTATTTAATGAGTAAGTTTCTCAGCTCTATGCAAACAGTGCTACTTGGACCTGAGATTCCATTAGGCTATGAATATCATGAATGCTTCCTATAAGTTATAACAAGGCTGGTCAACAAAATTAATTTGAGGGACTTCATGGAGATAAACTGAGACGTGTAAGGTTCATATTGCTCACACTGAGATTGGAGAAACTAAGTCCTCCATTGACTAAAACTAGAAGAAGCAAAAGTGCACTTCTTCCGGTTCTCCCCTTCTTTTTTTTCTCTTTACTCCTCATTGTGTTATACCGTTTTGTTGGTGTAACTTGAAGTTTGGTAAAAACAGTAACTAAGATGGCTGAGATTATGGAAATTTTGAGGTTGTGCATCAGTTATCTGTAAATTATTGATGGTTGGTTAAGAAGAAGCACTATATCTGTAAACAGTAACTATTGATGGTTGTATTTAATAAAACAGTTGAAATATTCTGGCATACTTATTTAGTTTTTTATCTCTATCGCGGCAGAACATTATTAAATTTAGCATCCATCTACAGGCACATACTTCCCTTTCTTATACTTTCGTTAATATTTATCTTTTTGTCCCCCTATATCATGTTTTCCTTTTGATTTTCAGCTATGTTCCAAATCCTGTCTTGGTCATTATAGATGTCCAACCTAAGGAGCTGGGAATACCCACAAAAGCTTACTGTACTGTTGAAGAGGTTAAAGAGGTAGAATCACAATTTTTTTACATTGCTTTTCTTAACTTGAAATCTGGTTTTAATGCTACAAACTTGAATTAACATTTCGGTATGGGTACAGAATGCTACCCAGAAAAGTCAGAAGGTGTTTGTTCATGTGCCTTCTGAAATTGCTGCCCATGAAGTTGAGGAAATTGGTATGCCCTCCTTTATTTTAACATTGATTGGAATGACTTCTAACTTATTGCGTTCACATTTTAATTTTTGCTTTCCTTTGTGCGTTGGTGGGTGTCATTTTGATCCTACATATGGTTTTTATTTACCATTTTTCCCTTTTAACAGGAGTGGAACACTTGCTTAGAGACGTAAAGGATACAACCATCAGCACTCTTGCAACAGAGGTTCGGTTTTATTAGATTTTCATTTAGCATTTTCGCTTTTTATTCACTCACAAACAGACATGCATGTCTGTGAATATGGATGTGTGTGCACCAGTGTATGTTGTTGAAATGATTAGAGTTTCTTATGAGTATAAAAGGCAATACAAAAAACTTAGTATCCTATCCTTGTACAGGTTACAGGGAAACTCACAGGTTTGAAGGGATTGGAAGCAAGACTTAAAGAGATTCGGGGTTATCTCGACCTTGTTATTGATGGCAAGCTCCCATTAAACCACGAGATATTGTACCACCTACAGGTCTGGCTTTGGCTTACCATATATATAGTACAAGCCATAATCTGATATCTCTCCAACTTTTATGAGGTTTTGGTGCAAGTTTGATTTATATCTAACTTTTGTAGCTCCACAATGAAATATGGTTCTTCTATGTATTTGCCGCCTATTGATAATTAGTAAAACTAATGAAAAGGGCTTGAAAACTTTGAGTTTAACGAAAAGGACAAAAATGTGTTATAAGTGAATAGTACCAGGATTGACTCTTTAGAGTAAAAATGTGGTTTTTCGTTAAAGTGAACAATACCGGAAGCTTTTCGTTAAATACTTTTGTTGCTCCAAATGAAATATGGTTCTATATATTCGCCCCTATTGATAATTTCACCATCAAACTTGGTAATTTTTCTTATTTCGCTATTCAAAATTCATGCAGGATGTGTTCAATCTACTTCCAAATCTTAATGTTTCTGATTTGGTCAAGGCCTTTTCAGGTAAACCCAACCTTTCGCATAAACCGCTTTTTGGTTAGATTTGTTCTTGTGCAAATGCTTCTTTTGTTAGAGAGTTCATGTTCTTGTTGTCATGTGCAGTGAAAACAAATGATATGATGTTGGTTATTTATCTTTCATCCCTCATCCGAAGTGTTATCGCTCTTCACAACTTGATCAACAACAAGGTGAGATGCATTTCCATGAATGTATTACTTTATTATTAGGATTCCTCTTTTACATCAATACAAGAGACGACATCATTCTTTGTCTGCTCATCACGATTTTATTGTGAAAATTTTGGAATATTTCAGATGCACAATAAGGAGCACGAAAAGGCAGAAGACTCTAAACAAGTTGCTGTATCAGCTGCCGCTGGAAGCTAGAAGTATTTAAATTTCGCTCGGACTTTAGAGGGGCGTCATCTGTTGGACGAAGATAACCGATGCGCTTGATGGATTTTGAGTTTGATTTGGAGGGATGCATAGGACATGCCTCCTTAGCAATCAACCTAATCTTTAGCTATGCCCCAGACGCTGCTCACTTCCTTTCGAACATATGATTTCCGGGTTCTCGAGCGATAATGGAGATACTTGTCTTGTATTCTAAAATTTCCGTTGATTTCCTTCTTTTTCCTTTGTTGACGCCTTGTTCCATCCGTGTTAGTAACCTAATGAAATTGGAACCGAAATATCGATCCTTGATTTTCCGTTCATTTCCAAACGCATAGCGTTTGAAGTATTCAGATTCATGATTTCTCGTGCGTTTACAAGCAACCAGTGCTTAAAAAGTACAGGGGTTCTAAATTACGATTCGGTTCAAACCGAGAACATCATTAGAAAATAAGTACGTTATCAAATTAAGTCGAAACGATTACAAAATCAAATTCATATGTTTCTCTGAGTAATTTTTGGAGGGTACAGGATTTGAAGTTAAAACATGATGTTAATTTGCAGATGTTGAGTTTTTTTTTTTTTCACTCTTTCACTCAGTCTTCTTCTTCTTCGGTCTGAAACGCTTGCTGGAACTCGGCATCCATGACAACCCCATCCATAACATGCACCACGCTCGCCTTCCTCCTCACATCAACCCTCTCCGACCGAACTCCGTTCACCACCACCGCCCCGTCCTCCTCCTTCGACAACCACAGCGTAAACCCAGATATCGAATCGTACGACAGCTCCTTCCCAATCGGCACATTGTCCGAAGCAATACTCCTCGGCACCGTCGAGAACCCCAGCACTCGCGAAATTATCGCGTAAGTGTCGTTCATCTTCTCGGGCGACAAGCTATCCTTCCATCTCAGCCGCAGATCGCGCGCGAAGGCTCTCTCCGAAGGGAGGAACACGGTGAAGGGAAGATCTTCCGGCAGCATTTCGAGCGTCATTTCTCCGAACTTCCCGATCGGTAATTTGTCGTTTTGTGAGGCTTTTCGGCTGGCTTTTGTGGCGACGTATGGTCCGAGCGGGATGTCTGGAAGCCGCAGTATTGAGATTGTGAGGATTACGAAACAAGAAATCGACACGAACCCGAATACGAATACAATCGGGTTTCTGAGAATCCGGGTTCTACTCATCGTCTGAGGTTCAGGACGGTCCGGATCTGGAGACGCGGCGGCAGGGAAGGCGTTTGATTCAGCCGAGATGGAGTTGCTGCTGAGGTCCAACTCCAGTTTCCGGCTGTCGAGAAGTTGAGACGAAGGCTGATGAAGCCTGAGATTTTGGGTTGTAAGAATTTTAAAAGCGTCGAGATTGATGCGACGTCGTACTCTTGCTGGACTCAGTGAAGAGACTTAACATCAATGCGGCCCAAACATTAGCCTCAAAACTACATCTATGGTTTGATTATAAACTAGGTTTACTGTTTGACACATAGTACGTTTATAATAACAAAATTAAGAAAAATTACGTTTATAAAATATGTCAGTCAATAATTGAAGCTACTGAGATGTCATATTTATTTTAAATGCAGAAGATTTAATCTCACTTCAGTTGATTAAGATAATATGCTTGTCTTTATCCTAGTTGACTATCGTACTTTGCATATATGTAGGTCTTGAAGGAAAAAAGGAATTAAAAATTGTAACGAAAATTAATACACATCTAAAATGACATAAGAAAATACTTATATTACAAATAAAAAGGAATTCACAAATAGACAGCAGTACATCCCTCCCTTTGTTCTTCCAGACCAGATTAATCACCCCCGTTCAACCCAATCCCACATCAGCACCCAGGGGCCCATAGTAATCCAACGGTCATTGGAGACTACTGATCGAATTTCATTCTTTGATCAAGGAGAAATTTTTCAAAATAACTGGAACGCGGATGATAAATTACATATTTTTATATAACTAGTTTAAAATTTTATTTTTTAAATACTGACACATAATATATTATCTTATATTCTGATCACATTGAAAAATCTCTCTTGACGAGAAATTTTTCGATGCGACTAATCCTCCCTACATTCACCCACATCCTATCTTTTTACCTCTTCCTTCTAAGCTTTAAACAAAATATAACGTCATTTTACAGGCTCAGCTGGACACGTATTGCATGAACTCAGAATCTGTTTCGAGACCAGCCATTGCGTCAGGCGCCAAAACCACCTCGAGGTCAACGCTGCCACCTCCTTCCCTCCCCGGAAACGCCGATATCTTCCCGTCGAACTTATTCGCCCGCCCGCTCCGAATCGCCATCGGCCGCCCCCACCCGAAATCGTTGTCGTACATCGGGAACCTCGGCGAGCTCCCCATCGTCATCATCGCACCGTCGAAGTTCCCAAGCGGGAACACCCGCGGGTTCCGTTCCCAATCCTCAATGACGCCCCGCACACTATTATTATCGTGCGCCTTCACACTCTTGTTCAGTTGCTCCGCGCACCACTTTGTGTCGTGCGACAGCACCTCTTCCGCCGTCGCGTACGTCGGGATGCTCTGAATCGCGTTCCCGAAGTAGAATGCGTCCAGTTTTGGCTCCAGCCTGTGACGGCAGTTCACCGCCATTCTGAACGTCGTCATTTGGGACGACGGCAGGTTCCTCGCGCGCGTCACGGATCGCCAGAGCAGCGCGCAGAGCGACTGAAACGACGAGATCTCCTCCGTAGTTTTGGAGTTCGCGTTCGAAGTTTTGAACCAGTTTTCAATAATTGACGTCACTCTCGCGCCGTTATCGTTGTTTTGGTAGGGGTCGTTACTCTGCTTCCCAAGAATCTCGACGGCGCTCAGCAAAACGTCTTCGCTTTCAGACCATTTTTTGTTGTTGGTTCGGGCCTTGAGCTTTTGTATAGCTTCTCTGCTGAAGCTGAAAATTCTCTCCCGCAATGGCTCGTCCACGTCGAATGTGACTTTCGGACCGCCGTCTGGGAATCGTAGCACTGCAGGCGAGATCAGAACCGAGTTCCGGCTGAAGTCCGGCTGCCTCGTGATTGTCAATTTTTTGTAGTTATAATTCTCATTCGGTGATAGTGAAGATGCTCGGCAGAGCTCCGCGAAGGTGTTGAAGAAGTTCCAGAAGGAGGTGCCGTCGGTGACGGCGTGGTTGACGGAGCATCCGATAAAAACGGCGTCGTTGAGCTCAGTGACCTGGACGGCCAGGATTGCGTTGTGATGGCCAGTGTAGCTGACGGTCCTGTCGAAGGCGAACAACTCCTTGACGCAATCGGGGACGTCAGCAGGGCCCAAAACATCTCTGATTGAGAGACTGGGGGCGGACGCGTGGATGAAGTCGGCGCCAGCATCGTTGCAGCTGATGTACACCTGGCCGGTGGGATAGGTGGTTAGTCTGCCAGCCAATGGGTGGAAGCGGGAGAGGGTTTGGGAGAGGGAGCTTTTGAGGAGGGGGATGAGGGTGGAGGGGATGATGGGGTAGGGAGGGAGGGGGAAGAGGAGGCCCTTCTGGATGTAATGGCAGGAGAGCATGGGGAGGTCGGAGACGGAGAGGGGGAGGTCGTCGAGGGAGGAGGGCAGGTCAGGGAAGACGGTGCATTTGGAAATGATTAGAGACATTGGCGAATCGGAAGAAGGCATTCTTTGAAATTTTTAGGGATAATCGAAGAATTGTTGCTTCGTCTTCTTCTTCTTCGGAGGATGGCCAAGTCTGTGTAGGTTAAACTGGAGTAGTGAGGAGGAGTGAGGAAAAGTGTGGGAGTTGGGAGTGGTATTTATAGGTGGGATTGGGGATTTGGGTTCATGAATGTGCATACGTACGATTTGTGGTTTAGCTGATGTTCCCCTTTGTTATTATTTGCTGATTTGGCTATCATGGACTTCTTAATTTTTAATTTTTGTGTTCCATGAGTATGTGTGTGTGTGTGTCTGATGATACATTGACTATGGGCTGTTTGGGGTTACTTCTAAATATATTTTTTTTAAGAAAAATGCTCGGAATGTTATATTTATGTTTATATTGGTATAATATTTGATTTGATAAGTAATATGTTTATGCTATGTTAATTAATGAATTTTTGGTATTGAATTTTAGTCATATCAATCATTTGTCATATTATATGGTACACTAATGTAATACAAATATATGGTGATGCAACGCATGCGTAAAAGGGATACAAACGTATACCCTGAAGAACAAAGTTTTCTGAATCCATTAGAGTTTAAGAGAAAACCCAAAGGTCGTTTAATTAATTCTGAAATTGATGATTACAATAGGAGCCAAAGGGTTTAAATAGACTTAATCTGACCTTGGTAAGTTTATAGGAGGTCTTAAGAAATACAAAACGTTAATAAGATGGAAAAATGAAAATTTTTATTTTTATTACAAACTTTAAAACGCTATTTTTGAAGCCTAAACTATCATTTTGACCTTAAACATGACAAGCTTGTGATCTAACCATGAGGCGTTCTTCTCACAATTCCCTTTAAAACGACATATATATGTGCAATTCTGACACCCGAATATTTCTTGATGGCTTTTTTGTCGCCATATCGATTAAATCCAATATTTCCGAACCTTAATTCTTCTTTTCCAAAATTTGAGACATTTTATTTTCTTTATCTTTTTTCATCAGAATTGACTCATATCTCTCCTACATCATATGATCTCCATAATACTCTAATCGAAGCATTTAGTACGTGCTTTTTCAAAAAGTTTTTTTTTTTGTTTATGAACTAGACACATTAAAATTTTTTGGCCTCTTAAGAACAAAATTTGAAGGATTTGGTCAGGACTTTCTATCTCTCCAAAAGCTCTCTCCCTCGACAAAACCCTAGCCGGCTGTTTCCATCGTCGCCAAAGGCTATGGTTGGGGGCCGATGGCAGCTTCCCTCCTAGCCTTTTCTCCCTTCTTTTTCCCCCTTCTTCCCCCTTTTTCTCCATCTCAACCTTCTCCTCCTCGACATCCATGACTTTCTTCCCCCCAACATCATGTTGACTTCTCCTTTTCGGCCTTCACCTACCTCATCTCCCCTCCTATGCTTATCTCCTACCTTTTTGTGTGTAGCATTCATCGGATTTATGCCTTGTACCCTGATATGGGCATGCCCTTTCAAGATTTTTTTGTTTTGGTATTGGCTTTTCTTGGCGTGGGGTGGATTCGAGCTGCAGGTGGTTTGGATCCATCTTCTTCAACTCTTTTATAGGGTAGTATGACCTTCCTCATTTGGTTCCAGTGGCTGCACTGTTGTGTGCACTCAGATTTGACGGTTCGACTTGTTCTGACGGCTTAGCTTGATCTGGTGGCTAGGCTTGTGCGGCTCGGACCTGGTGGCTCTACTGCCTGTTACAGTTAGCCGTTTTGGTGCTCGATGTGTGGATGCCAGTACCTCACTCAGGCGAATTTATAGGTGGTCTTGGCCTGTGTGCCTCATCCCCATCTGTGATGAGTGGACCAATGGATTCCTTCTCGGAGTAGTGCAGTTGTTTTCACTCGCCTTATGTGCACCGTGGTGGCGCTGTTGTTTTCGCTAGATTTGTCTTCACCTTTGTGCGATGCGTTATGTAGTCTCGTCTATCAACAGTGACTTGATGTGGTCTTGCTCTACCGTGATAACTTTATGTCACTACTACAAAAGTACTCAGTAGTATCGTTCTAAAAAACGACAAGAAAACCCTATTTATGTCGGATATTAGCAAAAAATCCGACAAAAATTCATGAAGTGGCAGATAAAATAACCAACAACATTGCATGAGTCACGACAAGGCTTTTCCTGTCAGATATGACTCTTAATCAGCCAAGAAAATAGTATCGGATACAAGTGACATTAATACTCCTCTCGGTTATAGGGGACATCAATTGTTGAGAAATCCAGTTAGATATAAAGGCAATGATGTCACATTTAATAAAAATATAAAAGAATATAAACTAAATTTATGTTTTGAATAAAAGTAAAAATAAACAAAAATGCTCCTTTATCCGACACCCATGCTCATTTAAAAAAATTAAAAAATTAAAATTCCATATCTGTCATAAATGCTTCCATTGGTAATGTTCTTTAACAATAAATCTCATTATACAAAGTGTTTATACAACAAAATAAAGAAAACATAATGATTTTATTTTAAAAAAAGGGACAATTGGTAGCAAGTCACGGTTATCCACTTCTGCCGAGGGCCGGGAAGACTCACAGAGGTATTTCAGTCTTCCCTTGGCCACAAGTCTGGCTTCCACTCTAGCAGCGGATTTCGAACCTGAGACCTCCAATTTTTAGTTTTAAAGAAGCCTCGTAATCCGCCTTTTACCACTGGACCACCAGTTCGTAGTTAAAAAACATAATGATGACTTTTCCTTTTTCCTATCTTCTTTTCCTTTTCTTCTTTTCTTCATCAGTGCTACCTTTCTCCTTTCCCCCTCTTCTTATTTCGGTGCTCTTCACTGCAGAACAACAGTCCATCACATGAGAAAACATGAATTAAGAAAATCTCAACAGCAATTGATGCCAAAAACATCACTAAATACTAACAAATTAGATAAAATAAATATGGTTTAAATAGAACAATGTATGAGAAATTTGATAATTAGCAAATTAGTATAAAAATAGATTGAATTGCACAAAAACTACAAAACCATAATAAAATTAGGGAACTAAAAATTTTTAGTTAACTCGAAAAAGTTGAAACAAAATCCATCACTAATTACCTCAGATAAGCAAAATCTCTTACACACAATAGAAAACGGGAGTAGGAAAGCGAGACATTTCTAGTGTTTCACATAAATCCTGTGTTGTCATCCTAGAGAGAGAAGACGGGGAGATGAGATCGGCGACTATCATGGAGAGAATGATGGAGGAACTGAATGAAGTGGATAAAAAAGCATGCTAAGAAGATGAAATGACAAGAAGGAAGGGGAGAAAAGAAGAAAGAGATGCCAAAAAGAAGAAGGGGGAAACGAAAAGGAAATGAAGGTGAAGAGGAGAATAAGACAGGAGAGAGGAGAAGGGGAGAAGAGAAAGAGAAGGAAAGAAGGAGGAGAGGAAAATGAATGCAGCGAGAAGGAGAAGAAACTGGGGAAGGGAGAAGGCAACAGTGCAAGGAAGAAGGAGAGCGGTTTTATAATGTAGAATTGGTAGTATTGTCGGTTAAAACTAACAACAATGTAAAAATGTGTTCGACACACTTTCCTATTATCGTTGAATAGAACCGACAACACACTTTTCAACGTAAAGAATGGTGGGAAATATCCCATCCAAAATTTGCCACAATTTAAAAATATAAAATAATAATTGTGTCGGATATAACCGACAAAGTTATTATAAAAAATTTGAAAATATTTGTGTCAGATATAACCGCCAGAGTTAGTATTAAAAATTTGAAAATAATACAATGTAATATGACACATTACTTACTCATGTTGGATATATCTGCTAGAATTGGTTAAAATTATTTAAAAAATAAATCTAGTGGAGTTAAGGTCCCGCTTCATTATTCTTGTTAGAAAGTAGTGCATTAATGTCGGATATAAGCGACAGTAGTACTTTGTTATCCGACACTTTTTAAACATGTTGTCGGAAATATTTTATCCAACAGTAATAGTATAAAACCGCCACCACTCTCTGACACATTAAACCAATTTTGTAGTAGTGTGTGGCCTCGTTGTTCAGGGATGACCATTATGGCTGCTGGTATTGCTCTGTTGCGGCTCTCGTTTATTGTGAGATATCTGTACTAGTGGCACTTGTGAGCTTGGCAGTTGTGTGTTCATGCTTGTGGTAGTCTACTAGGGGTTTACTCTTATTTGTCTGTTTGCCCAAATTCACTCTAGATCAATTTGTTGGTCACTGGAGCTATGTACCCAATAAAACCCTTGTATTTGTTTCTGTTGATTAATGAAAGAGCATATTATCGTTTCTTGTCAAAAAAAAAAAAAAAAAAAAAAGAAAAAGAAAAAGAAAAAAAAAAAAAGAAGAAGAACAAAATTTGAAGACATGCCCGCTCTCTCTCTTTCTTACTAGCCCTGATATGCTTGAAATACTGTCAAAATAGCATCAAAACTGCAGATACGTTTTTTTCATTCCATATTAGGACTAACTTTGGTAATACGATAGCATTCTCGGTAAGTTTCTCTTTATATGTGGTTCTCGTTTTATCTTTATTCTCACAAAATCCTTGTGGAAAGAAAGAGAATATATGCAATGGAGACAGAGAAGTTTTTCTTCTCATTGCGGCGCTTCTTATTGGATTTGGAAACTATATGCCCAAAATCCCTAGCGAGCTAGCTTCTTATTGTATTTGCATCCTGCACCGGAAGAGAAGTACAATTTGATCAGCTTGGTGCCATCTTTTGTTGACTTCAATTCAATTTCCACAGCCAAACTAAACTGATGACCTGCAGATCTCTCACCACCGTGGCAACTTTAAAATATTGTACGCGTTGACTGTTGACGAGCTAGCCACAGTATTTTATATATATATATATATATATATATATATATATATATATATATATACACGAGAAATTAGATTATTATCTCTTCTTTTGTTACTTCATTGATTAAAACCTTATTATTTTTCAATTTTTGATTAAGATAGTTGGGTATTAATAACATCATTAATTATTTCAATAATACAATATTTTTTATTGTTAAATATATTCATTTAGTGTTAAAAATGCTACAATTAGTATATTTATATTTATGGCTAAATTTTTTATCATATATTTTTATTTTTAGTTTGTACCCATTTTTAATTTGC